GCGCCATTACGCCACCTCGCTGAAGCACGGTCGGCCATTTGTGGGCGGGCGGGCGCGGTGGGCGTCCGGATCGGTATGTTGCAGCTTGATAGGGCCTTATAAGGGTAGCTTCCTTGAAGGCACTACGCAGCGCCTGCTCAGGGGTGCGGCATACCCTCCTGCCAGGCTTAACCTGCTCGTCTTAGGGACTAATCGTGCCAACCGCGTTTAAGTGTCAGGCACATGAGCACCCTAAAGGCTCAAGCCAGCACGAATTGCACGTGACGCGCGGTAATGTTGCTGTGCTCTGTCGCCCACCACTTTCTGTCTCTCTGCCGCGTTTTCAGTGTTTCGATCGCATACTGCTGTTCATCTTAGCCAGAGGGCGTTCTCCCTGTAGAGGTCATAACATGCATGGATATTGTCACTGCACTAGAACACCAGTTTCAGAGTAGAATATCGAATGTTTCAATAATTTATTAGAAGCAACAACTAAGGATACGCTCACGCTCACATTCAGGACCTTGATGCTTGCCATGAGTGAGGTAAAGGTGCAGAGGTAAAGGTGCACGCAGCTGTAGAAAAGTATCTTTCCGTCACTTGAAAGTCCCCGAAATGAGGCTGAAGGATGCCTCAGTAGCTAGATGTCGTTTCGGACTTCACGGACCACACGACCGAGCATACGCCTAACTATGATCAAATGCGCTACCTGTGAATGCGCTCATCCTTAGCTACCTCCTACAATTGGCCGCGATAAGCGGGTAGCTCGTGTTGTTCACTGACCGATTTTGGCATTTCGACGTCCGTGTCACAACATTGTGGATAGCGCATGGAGTCCGGAACGGCGTCCATCTACCACAACCCTCGAGCATCATATCTGCACGCATTCGAATACTAAAAGTTGCACATTTGTACAGCTGTGGGTCCGTCCTTCTCGTACATAACAAGGATCTATCTTCCACATCGTCTTTTCGAAGAAATTTTACCAGTATTAACGACAAATGGCAGTTATTTTGGTTGAGGAAAAAGTTGCTACAAGAGTAGGTATCCCACTATGGGAAGAATGATATTGTCGACATTTTCTATAAGAGCTTCAAGGGCAGCTAGAATGAGTGAAACGAAGACGATGACGACGTAAGACGACGCACGAAAGACGCAGAATTGTCGTGCCACGATCAGAAATACCGTAATCGATACTGCCATCGCCATCGATCCTTCGACAGTCTTGTTCCTACTGAAACTGATTTCATGAAAAAGCTGAAGCGACGATCACTTAAAACAAGCACATGGGCACATGTAGATTTTTCGCTCCAAGTTTGAAAATCATGGCCCTGAGGGTCTACTTTACCCCCGTTGAAAGACTCGCTCTTCAAGTCCCACCCACCTCAATAAGCGTGACCTTCGACTTCATCTGGAAGTACGGTAAGTTGAAATAGTTCACAGACAGACGAGTTTATCTGAGCAGGAGGATGCCTTTATTTTGTGGCACTTCGGCACCTCAGAATGCCTGTGGGCCTTATGTCCAGGTTGATATGCTTGATGTCGATGCTCGACGACCCATGATGGGAAAACACTAGTTACCCTCGCTGCGGGGACTCCGCAACAGTGGGCGGGGTTTTACCGAAGAGTGAAAAGGTCACTCTTACGTAAAGTGGACGGTTCAGATCATATGCAGTACTCCTGTAAGGCTGCGTTTATACTTTGCGGCAGCGTAGCGTAGCGTAGCGCAGCGTAGCGTAGCGCTTCCAGCGTACGCCAGCGGCAGTGCCGAAGAGAGGATGCATATCGATCTAGCTTCACCAGCGTCACCAGCGGCACGCTGGCGTACGCTAGCGTGCGCTAGCGGCACGCTAGCGTACGCTGGCGTAGCGAGGGCACGGGAAGCATAGCTATCGATCTAGCTTCACCAGCGTTTCTCGAGCGTTTCTCCAGCGGCACCCAACGCGTTTTGCTAGCTGCTTGCACCGAGCAGGGGGAAGTAGAGAACTAAGTGCCGCGGAGAGAGCACTCGCGGAATGCGACGTGTATTGTAAGAAGAGAGGAAGACGAGACCATAGGGCGTCGGAGACGCAGAAGCGATGTGCATTGTAGAGACTAAGGGCGAGTGAGAGACGCGCAATCGATGTGTTTTGTACCTCCAGCTCTCCCATAGTCTCTACTCCCCTGCCGCTGCAAACGCTAGCAAAACGCTGGTGAAACGCTGGAGAAACGCTGGCGTACGCTAGCGTGCCGCTAGCGACGCGCCAGCGTGCCGCTGGTGACGCTGGTGAAGCTAGATCGATATGCATCCTCTCTTCGGCACTGCCGCTGGCGTACGCTGGAAGCGCTACGCTACGCTGCCGCAAAGTATAAACGCAGCCTAACTTGGTAAATGCCGCACATCCAAAAGGAATGACGCTTGAACGTAGTCGCGCAAATGAATTGCTTTCATTTTATTGAAAATTGAAAAAAAAAACATTCAATGTTATAGCAAATTCGCTCCTTTTTGAGAGGGACAGGTTTGCTTGGTCCTACTGGGCTGAAGCACGATGTTTCTTAGAAGCTTTCTGATAAAAAAAGTGGCTTAACAGGAATGGCGCCCTGTTAGCAGTAATGCTACAGCCTCAAAACCTAACTAACCGTGGCCATTTGGTAGTGCCAAACTTCGATCCAATAATTGCGGCCATGCTGTCACCAACACCAACCGAAGCGACTCCTGCCAAATGGTACAGGTTTGGCGATTTGTCGTTTGGAGACAGGAACAATGGCAGAAAAACACCTGGATATTGTAGTTTGCTCATAATAGCTTGGTATAACCAGGTTCTTGAGACGCATTCCGCAGTGTGGAGGGCGTAAAATGGGTGAAGATCTTAAAGACAGCTCCCGCGATAAAAGTCTCATGGATAGCTGCTTTCCAATTATGAAACAGCAGCTGATAAGTAATCTCCCAAAGAAGAAAACAGGCAAGAAGCGTCCTCCAGAACAACATAAATAAAATCGCTCCCTCACAGTCACACCTCCCTGCGGTCTCTGTGCCACCCCTAGCTCACAAGTCTCTCTATCACATCTCGCAGTAGTTGATATCATCCAGTGCAAAAGAAAGAATACAAAAAGAAAACAACAAAAACGCAGAGGAAAAACTCTGGGAAGGAAAAGGAATTTTCAATCAACACGGTGTCTGAATTTGTGATTCGTAAACGGCGCCTTTTGTGCGTCGTGTTTTGTATCATCACGAAAATTGCGTCACTCGTGTTTTTTACGCGTTTCACCTCGCGAAATGGGTTGAATTGAATGTATATACCTCCAATGAGTAAACTGTAATGAAGGAGAGCAGAATTATCCAGGGGCATTAGCAATGCCCGCCGCCCCAACTAAGAACAAGTGAGTGGCCTCCGTCGGAGGACATCTAGCAAGTAAAGGCGGTCCGACTGAGGAGGAGTTAGAACTAGCACTTTGAGCGGCTATAGCAGCCTCCACGCTCACAATAGAGTCGCGAAAGGTGAACAGTCTTCTAGCTTGGAGGCTAGACTACTTGCACAGCAAAGGCGACCACGAGCCACTTTGATCGCGGGGGCTGTCTTTAACGTCGTCCACACTGATGCGCTCTTCTTTCCAACCAAAATTAAAAAGGGAAAGCGACATCAAAAGGAAGGTGCGACTCTCCAAATCTCCTCCCACTCGACGATAGCGGAACGTCTTTTTAGAGAATTGTGAAATCACCAAAGAGGAGGAAAATCGGTGTGAGCAGCACGGCAGAGTCTTGTTCATCTTTGAACACCAAGAGGAAGTTGTTCAGTTGCTCTTCCCATGGTGGAACTTTGTAAAGAAACGAGAACCTGCGCAAAAGATCATCATCTTGAGAACACCATTTTCTGGAAAACTTTGAAGTTCAGACTCCCAATAGCAGTCTCTCTAGGGTACCGGCGCTTGCAGAAGCATCTTCAATTCCCACTTAAATGGTACTGAAGCATTTGTGAGAGACTTGGCCTCGCATATTTCCCGAAGTGGAGCACCAGAATCTCAGAATTACCAGATTCACACGATAACTAACAGGTTCCTTCGAGCTCTGTCGTGACAAGTGCTCATACGTGCATTTCATTTACGACCAGACAATGAACATGGTGGATCCCTCAAGGTAAACGACTGGCAGCATGAATCAGCTGTTAGATATGGATCAGCAAGCAAACAGTTAAAAAACTGTTAGTATGTCCAAGTAAGCGCTCTCCTTTGTTAATGATTTTTGGCAATATGCGACCGTACACGAACGAAATACTGAAAACGCTGGCGCGAAAGGGTTAAGCAAGAGCATGGGCAGCTGTCTTCCAAGAAGTACTTCCAGTGGGCGTTACGACCACTGGAAGTACTTCTTGGACCACGGAAAGGGAGGGAGCATGTACAGCAGGACGTCGTGAGCGCATTTTCCACTTTCTCCGTAAGACCGAAATAGCACAGACTCAGCCAAGCCTGTGAACCTCGGCCAATACGGAGCTTGGAATCGGAACAAGAAAAGAGTATTTGAAATCCGCGATTGACCTATGACTTCCGCGAACAGTTCTTCTCCTGGAAACGGCTATAAGACCGTGTTTATACTCTGAGACTCAAGCAACTAAGAGTCGCGTAACTACGGTCAACCGCGGTCGCCACTAGTTGTCGGACCGTTGCTACAGGGGAACTACATGTGATAGAATGACTAGTTCAGGCGGTCAGTAAGCTTAGCGGTGGAAGCGCGGCGGTCGCAGTCACGGTTTTATTCCGGAAATCCGTCGATTGACTGCCAACTCGGTCGCGAAATATGAACGCGGCTTGACACACGTTGAACGAGTCAAGATCCAATTACTATCCTCACTGATGAATTCACTTTCAAGTCTTCTTTTTTCGCAATAAAAAGTGTGAAAACCATTTTCAGGTGGATTTCAGCTTTTAAGACTAGTAAAAGTAAGTGATGACATAAACCTGCACTTTCCTGTTTTATAAGTTACTTGGCTTATTTACTCTTCCTCTCACCATAATATGTAGGTTTCTCGATTCCTGAAATTCCGTTTGTGGTTTGCTCGAGCTGTAGTCGATCTTGGAAACAAAGTAATCTACCCACTATCCACTGCTGGATAAGCTGGATTTGCTCACGTGGACGATTATCGACCACAGTGGTCGGCAATTTTCGGCAACACTTTCAATTATTCTGGACAAAAGCCACTGGTGAACGCAATGGTAGCATATGCATGGTTCGGGGATCGAATCCATCCAGGCCAATCAATTCTTGGGACGTTCCTAGGTCAAATGAAGAGTAAAATGGGACTGACTTGTGGACACCATAACATTCACTCGTTTACTGGCCTTTGCTGCGCATACAAAAGAGATTCTGCGTGGTAGTCGAGTATGTGGCGCATTCTAGGAAGAGATTGAAGAAAGCAAAGCAATCCGTTCCCTAATAGTTCTAGCCTCCTAGTGTTGCTAATGCATAAAACCTTGCATTCGAGAAGATTTGTTCTCGTCTGGCAAAAGACTACGCCCGTTTCAGATAAGATGAATTGCCTCTGATAAAAACGTCGGTGGAATGTGCCTAATTTTTCGTGCATGTGCACGAAGATGGGACCTCCTTGACCTTGTATTCGAAGAAATAAACTTTCAACTTTCAATTCTTGAACTCACCTCTATAATAACAAAGATGCAGATCATCAACCATCCGCTCAACCAGACAAAATCTCGATCGAAAAACAATCCAGACAGATAAATTAGTGAGACCGTCACATGGAAGAATTTTCTGAAAACTTTCCAGGAATTATCTAAATTGGCGCGCACAAAAAAATAAGAGAAACAAATTATCAAACTGAAAAAATAATCAAGAGTGTTTATATCTGTGCATATTTTGCACCGCAGCAATCAGTCGGGGGTGGTATGATGAGGGGCGGAATGAGCTTCCGGGTGCCTTGTTCTATCAATGGTGATCAATTAGGAACTGGTTCAGGAAGAAAACATCAGTAAGAAAACATCAGTGGTGGAAAGGCCGCAGGCGGGGTCACTCCAGCCCTCTGAGAATCGACCCGGCTAACTGCCACGATGCCAAATGTACCTGTGTATCGTAGAGCTCTGACCGCTGGTGCTGACAAACACTCCGAAACCTACAGAAGCGATCACGTTAAATGTCCAGAATAGCAGCAGGAGCATTCTGAAGTAAAGAAATTGGAAGTGAATAATCCCGGACAGAATCGAAATTTATAAAAATTTCCTTCCTTTCAGGAACCCCTTACAGGGGACTAAACTCATTGGGCAGCATCATGCCAGATTCGTTCCCTTGTCACCTTTCTTTGCGACTGAGCAGTGAATGTAGAAATTGCGCATGAGGCTTTTGACGTTGATCAGCCCTTTCTCGAGATGCGCCAAGCATTCAACCTTTCTTCGGAACCAGATGGGATATTGAGTGCGATATGGTCCATACGATCAAACGCGGTGACCAGCTCATCAACAACACCAGCCCTTGAACAAACCAGTGTTTCATGCACCCAAGCTTTATGGAAAGTTATTGCTTCTTTAGGGGTAGATAGCTTGAATACCCTGAGCGTAAGCCGTCATTCTAGCTCGGGGTGTTCATACCCTGCGATTTGGTCGCTCTAATCGCGCGAGCGATTGGCACGAAATGGTTGCTGAAGCCGATCGTGCGATTAGAGCGACCACTGAACGAGCTTTTACAGTCGCTTCTTCACACCTTCAAAGGCTAATGGTTAGTGCTGGCCAACATTGGAAGCCTGCGGGTAATTCACAAAATTGCCCGCTACGCTGAAAAAAAGTTCGAAACCCTTCCCCTCCCCCGTGAGGGACGTCCCCGAGTATTTTGGCTAAAGCCCTTGTTGACAATCTTTTTTGAGTGAATAATTTGAGTCTTTCATGCCCCATAGTTATCTGTCTATGTGCGGGCCCGAAAAAAACAACCATGTTGTCAGTGATGAAATCATCTATCCCCTAGCCCTTTTTTATGAAAGAAACGAAATGTCGCGAAGTATGCAGTGCTGTGGTCCACAAGGGCCGAGGTTAGGCGTTAGTAACCTGAAGGATGACCATCTCATGGACTTCCCAAGTGAAACTGGAACCAATCCCTTCCGAATAGAATTGTTGTGCTCGAAACTGGTAGCTGGGGGCCCCCTCTCCCTTCCGGCCTTGTTTAACGTCCTCATAGGCGCTAGAAGAATTTCGGGTTCGCACTAGTCCTTTGAATTTTCTCAAGACTATTACCGTAGTGCTTGGAGGTATAAGGCACGATAATTGGGTACCGGTCTAATGTGGTAACAGAGCTGTTGTATTGTGGAAAAAGGGCGAAAAAGCGAAATGAAACGGTTGAAAACTTGCAAAAAGCCTTTGTTCAGAATGCGATTTCGAACTTCCCCGTTGGTATTGTGCCGAGAGCCGCTATGGTGGATACGGTTGCATGAGTGTACCCATATATCCATGCAGCCGTTTTACATCAACCCCTTCGCTTCATATTTTACTTCGCAAATGAAGCAACACGAGCATCAGGTACGGTCGTCCTATTTGTGGGCGGGCGGGCGCGGTGGGCGTTCGGGTCGGTACGTTGCAGCTTGATAGGGCGCTATGAGAGTACCTCCTTAGAAAAGGCGCCAAGCAGCGACTGCTCAAGGGCGCCGAATGCTGCCCTGCTAGGCATTAGTCCTACAAGTCTTAGGGATTTATCATGTCACTTGCCTTTAAGGCACAGTCCGAAGGGGACAAGGGAGCAATGGAAGTACACTGACGGGGAAGCCACAAACCTCGAATATGGCCAAGGGAGCAATGGAAGTACGGGGAAGCCACAAACCTCGAACATGGCCAGGCATTATGGAGCTTATTACGTTCCAAGCGTGTGAGTTGAGCCTCACCAATGTAACCAAGTTACTCCCAGAAGGATTTGCGCTTTTCTGGGCGATCGATGACACTCACCGTGAATTCGTTGAATCGAAGACGATCCGCCAAAGGAACATTGGCAATTCTAATAGGTTCAGATCCATAAGAAGGCTGTATAGCATCATTGCTACACCAACAGTCACCAGAATGACTGCGTTGATAACAACGGGATGGGCACCATAAGACAGTATCGTCGAGATGATCACAATTGCAATCGTAGCTCCGACAGCTATTTCAGCCAGTGGACCATAGACCGTCATGGTGAATGCAACGACCGCACAGAATCACCCAAAAAACCAACGGCAATAGCGATTTTCAACGGCTTTTGCAAATTCAGACCAAGAGATATTATGACTGGGCACTTTACGGTGCATTGGTGACAAAATACAATTACAAATAAATTGATTTATTCAAATATAAGTATATGGTGTTATATATGGTGTTCAGTGAATAAAATGGGATATGAAAGCTGGGCTCATAAGGGAGGAATGTGAAAGGGAACAAACGAAAGCATGTGAAGGCATTAGAACTAATCACATCAAATGAACCAATCTATTTCAGGAGAATTCCGGGGCTGGGATTCCTCAAGCTCGAGGGGTTGGGCTTCCTCAGGCTCGATGTGGACGGCAGAGGTGAAGGATTCCGGGGTGGGGATGCCTTAGGCTTGAAGGGTTGGGATTCATCAGGCTTGGAGGGGTTGGGTTTCCTCAGGCTTGATGTGGACGGAAGAGGTGAAGGATTTCGGGGTTGGGATGCCTTAGGCTTGAGGGGTTGGGAATCCTCAGGCTTGATGTGGACGTCAGAGAGTGAAGGATTCCGGGGTTGGGATGCCTTAGGCTTGAGGGATTGGGATTTCTCAGGCTTGATGTGGACGGAAGAGGGTGAAGGATTCCGGGGTTGGGATGCCTTAGGCTTGAGGGGTTGGGGTTCCTCAGGCTTGATGTGGACGGCTGAGGGTAAATGATTCCAGGGTTGGGATGCCTTAGGCTTGAGGGTTGGGATTCCTCAGGCTTGATGTGGACGTCTGAGGGTGAAGGATAAGGATCAGGGATACAGTTAAGAGAATTAATGAGATGAAAAAAGCCTAATTCACTGTAGAGTACACGAGCGATGTCAGCGGACAACTCGTCCGCGATTTCAGCGGACGAATCGCTTTCAAAGACAGTTAGGACATCGGCGATTAGCGGACCAAGTTGAGCGTCGATCAGAGTACGAGGCACATTTGGAAACAGAACCGCCGTGCCTAACACCACCGATTCACGCACCCTGAAATGAAGCAGATATTAGGTCCTACGGCTATTTAATGCGACTGAATACCACAGCAAGGTGGATGAGCGTCAACCGCACTTGGATGAAGCCGTATAAGCGTATTAACCAACCAATTGAATTTTGCGATCATAACTCAAAACTAACTATGCATTACAGTTAGAAACTGAAGAATAGCATTCCTTCACAGCAATCCAGCAACTTACTCTTCTTTCAGGCAGCAGCAGTGATTACATGGGTTTTCCATACAACAAAACAAATTTTATTACAATTAAGCTCTGTAAGCTTGCTAACTTTACTCGACTTGACTTCTTTATCTTCTTTATGAAAGCTCGAATAACAAGGCTTCTTGGACAACGAACTCCGTGGGCCAGTGGATGTATAGATCAGTCATTATCCTGTCAGATGAATCTCCTTTCGAGCTACCGTTTCCGGAAGGTAGACGACTTGCTCAACGTGGATGCGATTCGATCTGGGATTTCACGGCCGGACTGAGCGCATGGTGAGCATGCCTCTAGCCACAATACCACCCCAGCCTCTATCTCATCTATAGGTCATGAAATAGCAATGAATCCTGTCATCCAGGACATCGATGGACATCCTGTCCATCGAGGACAAGTGAGCGTTTAACGATTGACTTGGAATACGCCATGTATGTCACTCCCATACAGAGTTATTGAAGCTTTTGAACTTTACCCTGTACGATATGTGACGGGCAGCATCATGGCAAACTCCGTCCTGAGCTTCACTACATAAACCTCTGGAGAGAAATTTGCTCCCTCCACCGAATTAAAGCACTATTCAGGATATTGGTAGCGAAATGGCTCGCAATGTTGCGTTTCAAATGTTTTAAGGGCAAAGGAAGCTCATAACAGCACAAGGACAATGGTTGGCGGTTTGGCCTTCACTCAAACAGACTATCACATGACTGAATCAAGATTTCGACTATGGAGGGGTTGGTTGTTCACTGTGAAGTCAGAAAGGAGAGTAGCTGCATTATACTATCTCTTCATTCAGTCGATATTCGCCAGTTTCGCCATCATTTCTTTCCAAAAGGAATTCATTTTCTTCGCGATGTCCGTTTTACTTTATATCTTCGTAAACGGTCTCTCGTACATATTAATTCCTCGCTAGCGTAATGAGAAAGCCCAGACTAGTAGCGATTGGGTGGGTGGCTGGCCTTGTGGCAGCGCGGCCGAGGCGAGAGACGTAATCGGGGATTTCTAAGTCCTCGTTGCTGTGCACATTTAGGCCTTAAAGCAGGACCCGGGAGAACGTATGTGGCCTCGTATATGGACGTTCCATGAATGACGGCTTTATCCGACTATTGATAATCACCGCTTAACTCCAGTAAACATGGTTACGTAGCCATCCCCTCCTAAGCTGCTCCGTTCCTTTTCGAGAACACTCACTGGTCGAAAATGATGTCAAAGGAAAATACAGTCTTAGTTAGCTATCAGTAGAGGAACCGCAGTAAGAGTCAAGACGCTCTCACAGAGCTCCTTTTACAGATTTACCCGAGATACATATAAATAACACTCTTGCTTACGTCCGTCACTGCCGAGTCTCAGGCACCGATCTCACGGCGTGAGCGTTGGTAGGAGACCGCACGTAGGGCGGCCAAAGCGTGGAAGTGTTGTCAAGTGCGCGCCTCTGCGCAACCACAGCCTACATGAATTAAACGCGGCAAGTGTTTACAGTAATGCGAAATCTCTCTTGAAATAGGCAAAATTGAGCCTATGAGAATTTGCGCGCGTCACTTTGAATCTTGCATATCTCCCAGCCAACACCCCATCGTACAGTGGTAGATTTACGGGCCTCACAGCGACATGATAAAGAATAATAGCCACGCAAATTAGAATGAATTTTTGGGTATCCCTTGAAGCCAAGCAGGAAAGATCAGAATATGGAAATTCAACTGATTACAGGAGGAGAACTTTGGCCCATCTGCAAAGACAAAACCATAAAAAGGGGTGAAATATGCATTCATGTACACGACGATTGTATGGCAATTAGCAGCGTGCTCGAAAGGCCACCGATAAATTTGAACGCCTTGAGGCCGTTTCACTTCATGAATTCGCACCTTAGTAGATCGAGGAAGTGGCGCGCCATTACCCTACAAGTACTAGGCCTTCTTCGTATAAGGTAACAAATATGCGGGCTAGAGGGCGCGCGCGCTCATCAAACGTTATCAGCAAACCGCTGTCACCATGCTCAAGTTTCTTTGCTCGCCTCTGGTTTCTCACCCGCACTAACAATGTTTTGTTGCCCTATCGCTTCTTTGCATACTCGTCCAATGTTCAAAACAACTACAAGAAATAAAGTTTCATTTAAAGCGTTTTGTACGACCCGACTGCTTTTCTCTTTCACATAATGAGCACCTCACTCATGGCTGAGCCCCAGTACTTACGAGTTGCAATCAGGTAATGTGTCTCAAAGAAGCTTTGCACCTCAATTTTGAAATCACATGCCACATGTCCTGCATGCACCGCGTAGGGCTTTAGCATGAGCGGCTTCATGCTGTGCCCTATTTAATGAAGCTAAGTACTTCAGAGAGCTCCACATTCAATAATGAGATTTTCCCTGCCGTCTTCATGCAAGAGAACCGGGTGGCATGCCTGCCAGTACTTGCATAATCCGCACATACTCCCGCCGCCATTAAGTTGACAACCACATAACAGTGGGATTTCACGGACGCGATTCGGCCTACAGCGTCAAACGACATGCGGAAACGTTTGAAAGGGATATTTTTATATCCCCGTCAGGACAGCTTGGTTTCAACCTGAAACACCATTCAAAACTTCACAAAGTTCTTCAAGCTGGACATCATAGCCTCTTCTAATTCGTCAACAATACAATCATAATTCAATTTTTTTAATTTCATCAATTCTTTTCAAATAATACCCATACTGACCGTTCATGGGTTCCTCTTGTTCATGTCGAAGAGCTCGTTTCTGGGATCCAAAATCAAGAAGCCGTCCTAGCCATTGTTGAGGAAACTTCAAGTCAATCAAAAGTAATAATGGTTTCTGAGAAAGGAACCTTGTTCGAATCTAGAAATTCCCTTCGATACGCTTTATAACAGAGTTCGGAGCTTAGGGAGATAGTCTTTCGAGAAATCTCTTATTCGTATGATATGCGCCGAGTCCCTTTCAGTGCCTTTTCAGTTTCTTATACCTACGGCTCTACGCCGATATTTTCATGGTCCTACGGCAAACGCCGACGACATCCTGCCATAACAGCTGGTTTTTAATGCTCATATTTCATCCTTCGGAGTAGCCGTATCTTTCTTTGCATTCAAAATCAGCTTCAAGGGAGATTTATCGAGAACAGACAGCCGAGTGTCCGTTAGAGGAGTCCATGCAGATCAGTCAACAAGCACGAACTCTTGAACCAGGCTCGGCATTATCTAACATCTTATCCCATTCGAGAGAAGAATCATTTTTTCTGAAACCCGGCATGTGCATCAGCTGACCCAAATTGCACATTCCAAAATGCCCACTACGATTTTTACGAAAACTGGGCATAGAATGGCAGCATTCCCCGAAGACATTTTTATTAGACTTTTCTTGATCATATCCATTTCGAATTGCAACGTCAGATTTCGCTCGAAAATGATCCCCGCTGAAATGGGCTAGAATGTTGTCCTGGGAGGAGAGTACTTTAGGTCACGCGGCGCATCACAAGCTACAAAAGCCTAATCTAAATTTTATTTTAATTTTAATTTATTTTTTTTCCTCCAGTATTCTAGATGGCAATTCTAAACGTCGCCATATCGATGCTGAAACCATATTTCAGCAATCGCTAAACAGCCCCTCCGTAACTTACTGAAACACAATCTTTTTTCGGCTGAAGATTCCGCGAACGCGCGCAGGTCTGGTATACAAGGAAGGCTCAGCCCTTAAGCGAACCGGCGACTTCCAATCGCTCCCCGTCATCTTTTGTGTCCTTCTGTCCGCAACAAACATTAAGAATTTACAGATGGTCTGGGCGAGTAGCACTGGGAAAATCAAAACATGACTTACTTAGCCTTTTGGGAAGATATCTCCCACAAACTTCAAACTGTAAACCGAATAATCGCTTCTCACGTCTTCGCAAAGAATGGTGAGGCTGCTCCATCTCATGATATTGTAGTGCCACGACCCGAGAACTTGACCAGCCTTAAGTGGTACGGGGGACGGCGATGTTCAGTCAGTGCGGTTAAAGCACTTCTCACAAGGGACATGTCCAGGTGCTGAACCTCATGCTCAGGGCATGAAAACAGTGAAATGCTCTCAGTCGTCAGAACTCATCAACTTAGGGCTCCACGCTGCAGAAACGTCATTTAATTAGCAATCAGAAGCACGGATAACTTTTTGCAAGCAACCTAAGCGACGACTTGTCATAAAAAGCTTCAATTTCCTGTTGCGATTTATAAGGAGAAAACGGGGTATGAGGAAGGGTGGTACAAACCAGGAGCCCGGTTCGGGGTCAAATAAATCTGACCTTGCCCAGGTCAAAGAAGCCCTCCATCCCCTCGATGAATTCTTAGCAGACTCACACAAGGGGAAAAGATATCGACTCTAGCCTCCGCAATTATTGTACAGTCTATATCGCATTCAGGGTGCTATTGTGATCTTGAACAGCACCAAGATGCATGGCGCATCCCGAAAATTGTTGGTTATTGGAAGCTTCAGCCCTTTTGTCTTTTATTGACTGGTCGTAGATCTACTTAGCGTACAGGACACTTATAATTATAGGGGCACAGCACCGCCATAATGGAAGCGCTCTGATGAGACCATTTTGTCCGGTTCCCATAGTATTTGTAATCAATCCGTGAACGCGAGATTACTTGCTGAAATTCGTCGCAAACTTAGCCCAGCAAGCCAGTTGCCCAATTATTGAATTTTCGTGACATTTAGCACGTCTGCTGTCTACCCTTGTCTGGCCTACCACTTTCCCAGAAACCCATGCGTTCCATTCTAAGCTCTAATTGAAATGTGCAGGGTAGTGACGGGCTGAGAGAGAGAGAGCTGCCTTCTCTGCTTCTCTGCTGGTGTGATGGTTGATGAATCCAACAACGACAGCAGCGGCATGGCGGCGGCCGTTCCATCGGTTAGCCGGTCGGGGGTTGAGTTGTAAAGGAGTCACTGCTGGCTGACTGGCCGAGGCGGCGAGCAACTGCCACTAGACGACGGACGTTTCGTCGTCTGTGCTGTAATGTGCTGCGTTGCGGTGTCGGCTGCGGCCTAACCGTTGTGATGGCCTTCTGAACAGTTGCCATCAGCAATAGCTTTCAAGCATACACACAGAGAGAGATGTATCACAGTCGAGCAGCAATACGATATCGCCTCTAGATGCGCCTATTGCACTGCACTGCACCTCCTGTCCGTTGTCGTTCTTCTTTAGCCGACCAAGAAGACGACACCACAGGTGTGTTACACTAATATCAATTCCTATGCATATTCGAAAAACGCACACACACATCTCGTTATCTTCACCAAGACACAACTTATCCGCATGGGCACTCGAGGGACAAACGAGAGCTTTGTGAGTAGACACACCAAACTGGCTATTTGGGTTATAAAACAGCACGCTGAGTCATGACTAGGTTTAGACTGAATCACCCTTTATCCGGAACTCTTTGAGAGTTGCAGGTGTAGCAGAGGTCCGCAGTCCAGCAATTCACGGGGTAAAACATATTCTCTGTGGCCTAATCAGCTTATTATGCGTAAACGAGGGAGATCCACATCAAAAGGTCTTTCGAGTTCCTTACCTTTCTCTAGGCTCGGTTCAGATAGAAAAATATTTCGTATAAGAGTGCAGACCTATGCTACAGGAGCGGCCTCCTCAGGGAATTCCGAAAATCAGTGGAGGATCTAGAGCAGTCAGTACGGGACCTAATGACCCGCAGTCTACACCTCTGACCTCAGTTCCGTCTCCTCATCGATGTCGTCACTTTGCTCCAGAATTTCCACCACTTCGTGCATAATGCTGGCAACGAGATGCTCCAGATCATTTTTCACTTTCTCACCGCCGTTACCGTGATGATCATCAGAAGTCTTCGGATTCTCTTGGCATACATGACGTCCCTAGGATCAGGTGCCATCGTATCATTGACAAGACCACGCATAGAGTGGGATGGTGGCAGCCTCAATGAGATGAGCAGCGAGTGCAAGTTTTCATGGCAACATAATGCAGTTATTAGCGCGTCGGCACAGCTTCTAGGGCGACTAATCAGAGCGCGTTGAGATGGAGGGGAAGAGCAGTGTGAGCGAGAGGCATCGTGTGCTCAGACGGATGTTAGCGACGCTGAATTCCGTTAATATTCCGTCACATCACTTGCCCCCACACTCTCATACCCTTACACACCTGCCTTCAAACTATAATCTATCGGCATCGCGGCACACGGGTGTATGGCTGTGTGAGGGCAGTTCGAGACGAGAGCCGACACCCCGGACATAGCAACGCGGGATCAATTCTTTAATTTTGTACCTCGGAAGCGACAGCGGCGGCAGGCGACGACGAGAGAAGCCTGGAAGGGAGCCCTCGAGTCAATGTTCCCCCTCTCCCCCTCTCATAGAGAAACCACCAAGTCGTTCGCATCGATCTTAGACTGCACCGCAAAAGTAAACTACGACCAATTCAAGGCACTTCATTGCTAAGGTGCTGCTCTCTGGGTCATTTGTAGTAGACGCGCTCAGAGGGGCCGCCGCCTACGCTGCACGCCGCCCTTCCAATCAAAACGAATAACTCGTAATTAAGTGCCGCAGGATAGAGAATTTTATAAATTGGATATCGACACGGATGTGGGCGTTTCCCACCCAATATACACGCCAGCTAGGATGCAGGGGCATGCCAAATTTGAATCCTCTGTTCAATTAAAAGCGAGATGAACGAAGGAAGGGTCACAAAATCCAAGCAAACACCTCCAGCTGCCATTTTCAAGGTGATGAACTGAATGCAACAGAGATATGGAGAAAAGGCCATGCTAGATGGCGCGGGATCAGAAACATAAGAAGGAATGGAGCAATGCACACCGTTAAAATTTCAAACCTGAGAGGCAACGCTCCCATGGGTGGTCGCCACCGATTCGAGCCGTTGTGATCCGCTCTGGAAGGTATACTGGTGAATATTGTGAAATGTGAATCGAACGTGAGCGACATCGATCGGTCATGCCTCCATTATCATTCGGATACAGTACCACGACAATGATATTCTGAAGCGTACGGACGATTCTCGTAGCTAGCACGAGTCCAGCAAAAGGCATAGAAGCGATAGAGAGAGAACACGCAAACACAAGAGCCATCACAATGGCGATATCATATCCCGGCCGGCACTGCACCACAGAATGAAATGGCGACAAAACCTGATGATGAGGGTGATGTGGTTGGAAGCAGACACTCAGAAAACGGTGACCCGATGTCGGCGCCCTCCAGCCTAAGCGAACCTCGGCCCAGCTTACAATGTCTAAGACTGTGGCAAAGCATTCACTTAACTGGTGGGTCGCAGTGCCAAACTGGTAGAGAACGAAACACACGAGAAACTTCTTGCTCAAACCTCACAAATGGCGTGGAGAATACGCTCAAGATGTGGCGGAGACGGATGGCCGTCGGCTAGTTGTAGTAGACAGGCAGATAGGCCACGTAGTAGAGCAGGGCTGGTCGCGTGCAGTAGTTCGAGCAGGCGACAGGACGAATGAACTACGGAAGCACGACGACTGTTCGATGGCTGAGAAGCAGTGACAAGTGAGAGGGGAAGGGCCGGCCCCGAGCAGGCAGCGATGGAAGCGGGTGGCGCGCCGCCCCTCGCCGGATCGATGCCTGCCAGAAGCTGCTGCCCTCGACCACCCTCACCACCGCCAGCAGCAGAACTGCGCTTGGCCTGGCCTGCACAGCTGCTGTGGAGCGGCATGTGTATGGCGATGGTTCGGGTGATATTGTGTGGGCGATTCGAAACGTTACCTGATTGCGTTCAAGCAGTTCTGAGAGCATCGACGTCTGTTGGTGCAGCATTTGTTCGATGTGCTTCAGTCGATCGCTACTTTCATCAAGAGTGGCAGAACGAGACTCTGTTTGGTCTATACTGCTTACGGGTCGATCAGAGCTGATCTGTGAAAAGCCATTGAGAAATGTGTAAGTGAATTCACGCAGTGTACAGCCACTTCATGCGCATACGGCTGATCAAATCCATAGCAAATATCTTTCCATTCACAACGGGGACAAAAAACGACGCAAACATCAAACAAATCAGCCAACGAAACCATTCATTAGCCACTATTTGATTTCACTAAGACACGCACAGTTGTCTGCTCATCACAGCTGACCCAGTTGAAGCCCTCAAAGTCTATCAACCACACACTGCACACTCTACGTCATTAGAGAGCTTCACTGCCGTTTCCATTGCAACGGAACACCGCTTTCCGGTCGGCGACGAATCATTGGACTTGAAGCGGCAGCGGCGGCGGCAGCGGCATCCAACAGGCGGCCAGTGCTGAGCCTTTAACGGCCAGCAGATGCTCATACATTTTAAATGACTACTAGCACTATTCAGCCATTCATAACATCACGCAAACGATATACTTCCGTTGGTGTTCCACAGAAACAACACTTGTTAGATTGGTAGAGTTCAGAAAGAGAAGCCACACTATTATGGGCACCCAACAAGCAAAGTTGAAAGCAAAAAAATTATTAAGGATTACACCATTTTTTTATTAACATTAAGCAAGACTGATTGCGGACCGAATAATATTGTGAGGGCACCTGGAAGACTCTTCGAGCAGAACTGGGAGTATCGTTGTCTCGTTTCTCCATAAAGACGAAATGGGAATAGCATTACCAGGGGCAGTTCGGCGACGGAGAGGGGGGGGGGGGAATTTTTACTACTTCCCATCGATGTCGATTTATCTAGACAGCCTCTTCTCGAGTTGACAGGTTTACCATGATGGCTTGACGAGCTTGCTCCAGCTTCACAAGAGTTCACAGGTTTCACCAGAGTGGACTTGTAACCGGAACTAGTGAAGCAGTGAAAGTGCAAAATGCCCCCCCCCCCCTCCGTAGTCGAACTGCGCCGAATTACCGTACTCGAAATGTGGTCAAACTACATGGACAAGGTTATTATTCTTTCATTATTACGATTAAAACTACCACTTTAATTTTATTTGCACTATTCCTAGTTCCTATTAAACTTTCTATCATGGCAAGTGATGTTTATCGCCTCACTTACCGGTATGGAAGTAATCACAACAGCAACGCTGAGTTATAGTAAAAGACTTGACCCCAGCCAGAAGTCGTGGGGGCTAAAAGTTGCGCCTGTGCCGTGAAAAGGCCAAAAACGCTAGAAAAAAAGTAGGTAGGGAGGAAGCCAGCTTTGAAGTTGTAACGTTAAGTCCATCAGGCATGAAAGTGAAATGCATCGAGTCTTGGTGAGGATCGAGTCTTTTCCCCATAGTATTTTACCTAGTATTCTTGCGATTATTACTTTTTGTGCCTATATCACACACATGGATGGAATTCACTATAAATATAATAATTATTATTTTTATTATTATTACGGTTTACACCATCGTCTCTAAGCGAAGGATTACACCATGCTTTCTGAGCCACCACAGGTATCACTCAGCATATGTCTGAGCGCTATGTTACTGAGGTGTTGCTCCACGAAGCTAATCGTGAGCCACAAAGTATTAATGGCTTCACAAACAGGAAAATCGGGACAAATTTCATTGGAGGAGTCCGCGGAGGCAGCTGAGCCATGCCACGTCTGCTCCTCTTGGTGCACATGGCGTCCATCCAAAACAGTTGCCAGCTGATTGTACGTGTACCCTATGTGAGAGATGGATTACGGATAAGAATACACTTCATGGTGTCTCGGCGAGAGGGCCCAAACGAGCAGAAACGACGTGGCTT